CGACTCAAAGTTGGTTTTTGTCATTTTCATTTCATTTTTCATTGGTTGCCCTTAAGGTAAACAACTCGAAATAAATATAAAGGGGCGCCTCCCCCGCTTATTAGCTAATTATAAGCGGTCCCGACAGCTGTCAACGTTGTCAAATCGTATAAATTGTTTGTTTAGACAGCTTTTTTACGATGAAACTCTGCTCCTCGTGTTTTCACGATTGAGTAACATGCTAAGCCGAAACTTCAAGAATAGAATAGAAAACAAAAGTGTTATAGTCGGTAGTTGTTCCTAGGTCCGTATGTCTAGTAAAATGAGGGTTTGTCATGACTGGTTCTGTATAACCAAGACACACACACTCTCACTGACTGCTGAATCGCATTCGACACAGTTACACTACTATCGGTAGAGAGCGACGAGCGCGCAGGGCGCCTACGACTAGGGAGAGGGAGCGGGGCGAGGGACCCGAGTTGGTGATAGTTTAATTGTCCTTGAATTACCAAATAGACGTCGGTCATTTATTTGTCTAACAGTGGAAACCTGCGGTAGATAAGGGAGATAGTTTATCACACTTTTTACAGGTCGTTGGGACCTTCGGTTTTAATCTCTCTGTTGGTAGGGCGAGCGGGGAGGGAGTCTTAAAAGAAAAACCATAAATAATAATAAAAAAATATATAAATAAAATCGGATTTTGAAAATAATTTTCGATTATGGAGACTGTAATGTATATTCGAAAAATTGAATAATCGCTGGCATTCCTAGTTGCAACATCTTGCAAGAAACAGCGTCTGAGGGCTTGTTAATATTTAACAAAAAATGAATGTGTCATACCCACTTAACATGAAGAAACTCATCTACCTGACGATATGAACAATTTTTACCTTAACGAAACACAAGGGTAATAACAAGCCTCTGAATTAGCACTGAGCGAAAAAATGCTAACACACTTAGCACAGAACTCACGGTAGAAATACTTTATTACTTATCGGATCTGCACAAACGAGATATCAGATTAAAACTGAGATTACACAGATTCTAGGGGTATACAGTAAGTATCATCACTGTGTAACCAAAACTCAGGCAACGAAAAAGAGCTGGCTCTTTGAGCCGACTCGTTCGCGACCGACACATCACTAGTACAAAGTAACAGATTGTCAGATAATATCAGGTCAACTTTTACACTTTCATTAAAATGTCATAATACAAATGATATCATTGTTTATTTAATATTAAATGAATGAGTTATAAATAGTTAACATATTTTTATCACATAGGAACATCACTGTAGCTCTAATATTATATTTATAAAGAACAGAGTAAGACAGGGTTCGTACGGGTGCTTGAAATCCTTGAAAATGCTTGAATTTTTACGAGGTGTTTTCATGATTTGAAAAGTGCTTGAATTTTGGGAATGGTGCTTGGATTTGAGATAAAGTGCTTGAAATTGTAAATGCTTTACTTTTACAATAAATTGCTGTCTGACTGAATAGTTCGCTTTTTAGATTAAAAGAAAATAAAGAAGTCGGAGCGAGCTTAGTTGCTTCGCTTCTACATAAAACAGCTCCGCTCCGGCCTTCCCGCGCTATGCGCGCGACCTGCAAGTGTTTTATTTTGTGTGACCTGGGCATTCTAATGAGAGAATGACAGTATGTCAGGAGGTTGCTGTTTTAACAAGCGTTGGCTATCCGAAAAGAAATACAAGCTGTGGCTAAAACGAGGATCAACCCAATGATTCGCCTTCTGCACAGTTTGCCACAAAGAATTTCAATTATTCGCGATGGGAGAGTCTGCGCTGACGAGCCATATGAAAGGTAAGCCGTAGTAGAGCATTTTGGATTAGGCTAACGTTGCATGTTACGTTTGTTTAAGCTAGTAACGTTAGCGAACTCGATGTGGGATAATTGCTTATGCAGGTGACAATAATAAAAAGGAGCGTACCTATGTCAGTATGTGCGACAGTCGCCATCCTGTGGTTTTCAGAGGATGAAGCACATAAAAGCAATGTATTTCTACTGGTAGTATTTTTCGTGCCTAAACTTGCTCCATCGAAATCAGTCACATTGACCCGAAGACACATTTTGAGTTATACACTGTTGGAAAGAGGATATTCCTAGCTTTCTAACGGAGGAAACATATTTTCGTTTGTATTACTGGTCTGGGGGAAGCTCGCGAGTGTGTGTGTGTTTTTGTGTATTTTTGCGTTTGTGTGTATTGTGTTAGTTTCCCGGGGAAAACACTCACGAGAAACACCGGCTGTTATTATGCCTGCTTTGACGTAAAGTTACTCCCGTCCTGCCTCCCGCTCGCTCCTCTCACACCTCGCCGCTCTACACCAGCTTCACACGTTCGCCTGATTTACCTCGATCCTGAACTCTTGCGCCGGAAACAGTTATATATTTACAGCCCAACAGGACTCTGTTTCATCTGCACATCAGATGAAAACAAACTCGTAACTGGCCCTGGCCGTGTTACCCTCTCTCCTCCCGCTAGTACCAGCGCGCCATACCTTCATCAATGTCCCGGGCCAGGCGGGCGGCGGCACCCGCCGCGGCGGGATCCTCTCCTCCTCAACACGACACACCCAAAAGGCGACGCAGCGCGCGCGCAAAACAGCCGCGACCCCGCCTCCCTCCCCGCTGCCATTCACTCGCGCGCTCCGCGCCCCGCTAGCGTCCCTCCTCAGATAACACCGGCAGGCGGTTCGTACAGTCTCTCGCTCGCTTGTCCTCCCTCGGTTCCTCAAATCACAAACACCACGCGTCCTTGGCCTTCTCATCGGACCCGCCCATCAATCATATAACCCTCGTCGCTCCTTTCACGCCGCGCAAACTTCCGCTCTCACCTCCCCCACCATCTTGAATGCTTGTAAGCGGCATACGAGCTCTACAAGCCGCGAGACGGCGAGCTTACACTCCTTTCACGTCCACCCGCCAGGCCGCATCACAACGCCACAAACCGGTGTTTCTCGTCGAGTGTTTTTCCCCTGGGAACTAACCAATACACACAAACTGGCATCAAAATACACAAACACAGCACTCGCGGACGCTTCCCCACGACCAGTATATACAAACGAAAATATCGTTCTCCGTAGAAAACGCAAGGACAATATCCTCTTTCCCAACAGTGTAATAACTCAAAATGTGTCTTCGGGTCAATGTTGACTTGATTTCGATGGGAAGCAAGTTTAGGCACCGAAAATACTACCAGTAGAAATCACCATTGTTTTATGTGCTTTCCTCTGAAAACCACAGGATGGGCCGACTGGCGCCACCATACCTGAATATGGTACGCTCTCTTTTATTATTGTCAACTGCATAACAATTTCATCCCACATCGAGTTCGCTAAACGTCTTACAGCATAAACACAACATAACATCGCAACGTTACCTAATCCCGAACATGCTCTACTAACGGCTTACTTTCATCCATGGCCTCGTCACGCGCAGACTCTCTCCATCTGCGAATAATTTTCATTCCCTTGTTGGCAAACTGTGCAGAGGCGAATCATTGGGTTGAAAAAATCCTCGTTTTAGACCACAGCTGTATTCTTTTCGGATAGCCAACGCCTCGTTAAAACAGCAACCTCACTTGGCATAGCTTACTCGCTCATTCTCTCATTAGAATGCCACCAGGTCAACAAAATCAAACAACTCCTGGAGGTCGCGCGCATCAGCGCACCGGGAAGCCCGGAGCGGCAAGGCTGTTTTCTGTACGACAGCGAAGCAACTAAGCTCAGCCCCGACTTCTTTATTTTCTTTAATCTAAAAAGCGAACTATTCAGGTCAGACAGCAATGTTTATCTGTCAAAGTAAAGCATCTGTACAATTTCAAGCTTTATCCATCAAATCCAAGCACCCAATTTCCAAAATTCAAGCCTGTTGTCAAGTCATTGAAACACACTCGTAAACAAATTCCAACGCATATTTCAAGATTTCAACGCACTCGTACGGAACCTCTTGGAAGTTTTACATTTGGCAGGCAAGTCTTTCAGTTACGAATCGTAAACATCAGCTTCTGGCCACAAGCAACCATTATGCGTGAGAAGCTAAACTATCTATTAATTTGTCCAATGACAGGGACGTGCGATTATTGTAAATTAGGGTGTTAGCGTCTTGTTGCACGCTCCAGAGATGAAACACTGTAGATCAGCCAACACTATGGTTTCATTTTTTATTCTACAGGCAAGTCAACGCTTGTCGCAGTAAAAGTCCCAAGATATGCCCCTGGTGCAATACAATGCTTCCCTTCTGCAGTGTTTTACTATACGCCTGATGTTTCCTCTATTCAACTACTTGCTGCTCGTAGATGTGTCTCCGAGACGTCGGATGTCACAACCGACGAGTTACAACGAGAAAGTGACGTCTATTTCACCTAACAGAGCGGATCCTTTCTAGCCATAAACCGGGGAACTCTCGACGTCACCGATTTTGGTATGCGTTCGCGGTATGCGCTCGGCTCCCTCTCGACTGCGCGTGCTCGGCGTCTGCTCGGCGCTTCCGGATGACGAAGGCATGAGTCTCGACCAACTTATAACAGTACAGCACGATAAACATTCCAAACATTCTCTTCTAACAGGGTGCCCTAATAGTCGGTCAAATAATGTTTGTTTTGGCAGTTACAACTGGAATGTAGATGTGTTCTACCTTCTTTTAATCTGATGAGAGAGACGCAGCATTGCTTCCCAGCATGCTAAGAAGACAAGTACGAACCTTACATTCAGTCGTAATGCAATAACACACATTACTTTACACTATTATCAGGCCCACTGTTAAAAATGTTCTGTAATTGTTACTCTACTGTACGTTGGTCGAACGCATGCTTCGTCATCCGGAAGCTGACCGAGCAGCTACGCGAGCAGCCAGTCGGAGGAGCCGAGCGCACCCTCCGCAGAAGCTACAAAACTGGCTGACGCCTCAGAGTTCTCCGTTACGTTGGCCTAGAAAGGATCCGTCTAGTGTAAATACTGGACGCTACTTTCTCTCTTGTAACTCTCGTTGTAATCGGAGGCTCTCGGAAACACATCTACAGCACAATATTAATAGAGACATCAGACTTAATATGGTACAACACTG